AGAAGATGGATGAATCCCGTTTTACTGCAGCCGTTTGGTTTTTATATGGTGTACATGTTAATGTAGTCTAGGAGATATCCTCCCTCATTTCAGATGAAAACTTGCTGGGCTTTCGTCCATCATATGATGGACTTCATCAGATCTGTGTGTCGTTCTTTTAAGAGTCTCACGTTAACACTAGGCCAAAAACACCATCCGGCTTTATCTTACCTCTTATATAGACTCAATTAAGCCAAAAGAAAACTAAAAACCTAGCTAGATCGATATAGAGTGGTTTGGTTAATTATCTTTCATATAGGTCCTGATGTATATGTGTGTGTTAGCCTCTATACGCAATACTGGTCCTAAAGCATAGTTGTCAAAACGCTAATGTCATACTCTGATCTTCAAGGCCTAATGACCCAACAGAAAACCTTGGCCGAGATTGCGTAATTCCATAAGCAAGTAAGGTTGAGATAATCAGATATGAGCTTGTAAGTATGAAAGTCAAGTTACGAAACCACTTGTCTTAATCTCTTAGTTTAGGGTCATTAATATTTAACCCCCAAGAAAAAGTAAGACTGAGGCTGTGTGATCTGGCAACTCTAGTTTGTTTGATGAGTTTATTATAACATGTTTGACGAGTTAGAGTGAATTTAGGACCATCACCGAGCAGACAAATTAAGTCCCCTTCTTTTTGACGGAGGCTCAACACCCTTTCTCTCCTTCAATCTATCAATCAAGCATAACTAGTTCCTACTCAACTTTCTACCACCCTTTTCTAGGGGATTAATTTCAATAGCTCTCTTTTTTTTCTTTTAACCACAGATGTACCATAATCAACAAACCTACTGGTTTGAGAGCTTTATATTTCATGTGTAGTTGTACCTAGCTACCTTACAAAGATTTTTTTGTTCTTCTAATCTTTGTCGAATAGGTCGGCATGTCTTACCAACATAACCTCGACCACATGAGCAAACATTCTTGTAGCAACCGGATCTCGATAATGGGTCGTATTTCTCTCTAAAAGATGGCATAACAGATGAAAGTGTGAGGATTTCTTTGAACACTGTTTTTATGCCCCAATTCTTTACTAATTTGCCTATCTTTTTTGAGAGAAAGCATGAAGGCAAAATGAGGGCATATGAAGAGGTCTCAGTCTGTCTATCTTTGACTAAATGGTCTCCGTTTGAAAATGTATTCCTCAGTAGAGATATATTATTCTCAATAAGGCCCAAAGGATAATTATTTTCCAGGAATATATCTGTCAACCGTTGTAACTATTTAGTCAAATGTTGCTATCCGCTATCCTCATACTTCTAAGAATCATTTACTTCAAAATTCCAACTAATCTTCTAACTATGCTTGGAAAGAAAATTAAACAAAGAGCCAACATATGTTGGCTTTCTATAAACATATTTTCCTAACTTACTCTCTTCTATAATGATGAAAACATCCAGAAAAGGTAAGGACTTATTGTCATCTGGTAAGATCGACCAACGAATCTCTTCTTCATGAATTTTCAAACGAAATTAAAGTTCCTCTTAACAATATCATTCTTGAGTAAGAACTTCGTTAGCATAGGTCGCTTACAGGGATATGAGGAGTGAAAGTTGGGTTTTTCCACAATTAGTAAACTACGCCCTACAACACTGTTACGTTTTACATAGCCCTGCTTCTGAAGGGCATAAGAACTGTATCCACCCTATTTCGTTTAGAATGATACAGAACTATTAGTTGAATTTTGCCACACTGATATGATTTTCTCCTATATTTCCAGTGCATTCACATAGCCTTACTCCCTAAAAGGTATCCTCATCCAGAGTAGATTTTAGTGCAGTTTCGACCTCGCCGGAGTCGGTCTCATCAGCAGCCCCAGTGGGACTTAAACCAGACTAAGGCCTGGGAGTCTAGTGATTGATGCTATATTGTGTCATACTTTAGATTAATGTAAAGCTTATATTTTGGATGGCTCACTCTTATTGCGCTAGTTTGTTGAATGCATATATCATATTTCGCCACTTAAAATGGCAACGCCCAAACGCCGTGTCGAATTCTTTCCTGACATGTCATAGTATTCCATGTCAGCTCACATGGTAAGACTATCATATTTCAGTCCGTATGGATAAAGTTGTAAAATCCCTCCCATATTTTCAAGACTTGTAGGTAGTTCCAGGATTACATCACATTTGCTATCCGTGTTTGACTCTGTTTTCAGATTATTCCATTTTTACCTTTCTTGTCCTCTCTATCCCTTCTCCTGTTTTGCCAACTTTGTTCTTCGCTGTATCTCCTCTTCCCCACTCCCATCTCCACTAATTTATTGCCATTTCCGAGAATCCCTACTTCTCTTCCACTTTTCACTTGTCTTCGTCAATAGGTCTCGGGCCGCGAGCAACGCTTCACTTGTCGAACCTTCTGCAGAAGACTCGACCGGTCACTCACTGACCAGCCCATCACGGACCGGCCAGCCGGTCGGCAGTGACGGTGTACTCGCCTGTCTGGGCGGTGTTCCTCGCGTCTTCAGTCGAGCCTTTCCACAATTGCCCTCCGGTCTGTTGCCCCGACAATCTACTCTCGGCAAAACTGGCTCTGGCAACGGTCGCGGGAGGGTGAAATGTGATGCCAGCCTCGAAGAGATGACGCCTGAACCGGTGACCACAATGTGGATGGATAGAGAAGTGGCCGGCGCCAGGAGACTCGCGAATGGTCATACAATATCGGGCAGATCCGTATGCAATAGGACGGAAGTGAGAAACGGTATCGCTTCCAAACTCGTCAAAGGTGGGCTGGTTGAATAGAAATTGTTCCCACTTTTCCACTTTATCTACCCCCTCTCAGAGTTTCTTCTATCTTCGCTATTGCTAAAGGAGCAAAATTTTGGCGGTCTGCTTTTGACCTGTACTTCTCAGCTTTCTTCTTATTCTCTTTCCACGCACGAGAGATTAGCTGATGAGCTGGATCACCTCTTATATCATATCATAAAGCTATCATCTTCGCTCGACCTTACCACATGTTATGCTGAATATTTACCGCACAGGTTAACCTTTTTTGGCTCACTCCTCAACAGCCATTTTAACGCCATTTTGACAATGCATATATTGATATTGACTATCTTGAAGAGACTAAAGTGAGATTTGCTGTCTTTGGGTCAGCTTGAATAAAGCATATTGAATAAAATAGAATGTGATGAACGTTTTAGGTAACCTGTATCACTCTGTATACTTTCAGATGTCTTGATTCCTGCCAAACTATAATAAGTTTCCTCTTACCCCAATGTCTGAGTCAGAAGTTGTTAGTTGCCACTGTTGTGACGATGGTCACTTTAAGGTTAAGGGCCTCAGTCTACTTCCACAGCTGACAAAAACTGCTTCACGTTACTTTGCAGTCGGTTTATAACACTATGAAATCCAGGTTGATGAAGACATTTCTACCGAAACCCTGTTGTGAATAATCGATTCTTTCTTAACTTCTGTATGTAGCTATACTTACAGAAAAATACTGAATGAAATGAGAATATGAATTATTTGGTTACTTCCTCTTCAGCTTAAGTACTTGATTTTTGGTGCGAATGTGTGTGTATGTGTGCAAGAGATGTATTCACCTTAGATCGCAAAATGTGAAGAAATAATCGTTTTATTTTCCTACAATGACATAAGTGGATATTACGTTCCAAATAAATTTCAATTAGCCTTGCTTCCCCAAAAGTATTCTCATCCAGAATAGATTGCAAGTTCGACCTGGCATGGGTTTTATCAGCATTTCCAATGGGACTCGAACCTGTAGAAATTCGATATGTTACCACCACGCCGCACTGTCACGGCCGCCAGTGTGCCACAGGATAGACTTAAATTGCAATGCAAATCTAGCCGTACCCATTTTTGCAGTGGGATTGTCGGTGAAGCAAACTTGTATCTGCTATTATAGTCGTTGATGAGACCTAGGCGATGTTGAAACAGCCGGCCAGCCTGTATGAGACTACCTTTTAGGAAGAAAGGCTGCGCAATTCAGTAACATATTGAGGCTTACTAAAAATGATTTTGGGAAAACTCAACTATCAGTCTATCATCACCTGGTGCCGCGACCTAGGGGAACTATAGCTCTTGCACACACGCACACACACACATATATATATATATATGCATATATACATACATACATACATATACACAGATTTGCAGCAACAACCACGTACTTAGGCTAGCATGCAAATTACTTGGCCATATAATTCTATAATCAGCATCTTATATTGTTGGGGGGACTTTATACGTCGTATAAAAGCCAATCTGCTACAGTACAACAGGATTGATCTGTGCTCTTTTGGTGAGATCGACCTACGAATCTATTTTTTACGCAATTTCTTACAAAATGAAAGTCGTCCTAACACTGTTATCTCAGAAGCTTAATCTAAACCCAGTTTCTCTTCGTATCTAAGGCATCTTATAGTCAGATGTGTAGAACTCACGATGCTAGTGAACTCCACACAATATCTTATGTAAACTATAATTATAGTTGTTTTACCTTGCTTTTGCAACTTGGTCATATTGGTAGGAAGAATTAGATGAACGCACCTAGTCCGAAGTCAATTGCATACATGATAATTTCGAGAGGCGGACCGTGGACTCGGTACATTCTCAGAGGTTTAGCCAGCATCGTAGTCGGCTTCGTTAATGAGTCTTGCCATTCTCATTCAGGCCGCTCAAAAGGGCGCACCATACCACAGGTAAATAAGCAAATAAAAATTGTGATAGTGAAGGCGTGATACGAGGATATAGGATAGGTGAATAGCCCAGGACAGCAGAGATACCACAACTGTTTGGCAGACAATTTGTCAAAGGATCGGCTTTATCTCTTCGACGAGTTGTTTTGTGTTGCTAAGAGTGGTAAGGCTCACTGACGATGCCGACTACGATACCTTGCGAAAACAAAGTCAAGCAACTTCTATACAGCGAAAGAAGACTGCGACCACACTAAAGGCCACATCATCTTGGGCTTCATACTTTCGATATAATTATAGTGTTAAAACCTACTTATTACGTTATAATGAAGTAGTCGGCCTTATAGATAGTCTCTATAAAAGTATAAATTTTGAGAGGACTGGCTTCCCTTGAAAGACAAATCTGACCTATGACCCCCTGGTGTCCGTTAATAAGTAGCTTAAGGATAAAATTTGGTCATTTTATGTAAACAATCAGCTTCAAATAGCTTTAAGAATAGTTTTATGATTAAGACAAGGTCATTACTGTAGTCCACTTTGAATAATGAAGCCTTATTGAAGGCAAGCAAATGTAAATTTTTTTGCTTTTATCAGGCATACTAAAGTATGAAAAAACTCATTTATTGTGGTAAAACTTATACATAAACCATACTCTTATACCAAGGAGGACTAAACTTTCTTATATATATATATGTATATATCAGTTCTTTTCCACTATAACCAAAGGTAGGCATCACGATGGTCGTCTTAGTAAAATCAAACAATATCAGATCATGTAGAATCCGCCATCGCTTCTTAATGAGGCTGACTTACCAACATTTCATCATACAATTTTTCATCAAAAGGTTCCCATACGAAATCCAGATTCTTGTCAAATCTGCATATATTCTAAACTGTTCTATTTCACCTGTCTCAAGTCTCCTAATCCGATGCTTTTTATTGGTGTTTAAAAATAGTTGGCTCTTCATAGAGTATGCGAAAATTCATTCTTTCTTTCTTCGCTCCATCAATCCTGTCGATAAGTCCTAAAACATTTAGCGGCTCTTCTAGGTCAAGTGCTTGGAATTTACGTGTTTACTATTGATAGATAGATTGATTGAGGAAGATCGAGCAGGGGAAATAAATGTAAACAACTTGAAATGCACATTTAAATTGTTTTTCCTAATACTTCAAAGTCTCTTTTTGTTCTTAAAGCCCACTCTTGAATAGTCAATCAAAGTTTTTTTTACTATAGGAAAAATATTTTCTTGGTCTAGAATGCTTTCAGATTAAGGACATTTTCTTTTCATTGTTACTTTATGAATTTGTATGTTATTTTACCATGAAGTAATAATAGAATCAAAGAATTTCTCAGTCTATCTATATCACTTTACCTCTCTTACGGAAAGCCTTCTTCTGACGCGTTCTCTTCCATAGTGGACTACAGTTTCTAGTTTGCGTCGTGTCAGCATTCTTCCGAGTAGAGGTTGAAGTTTCTCTTTTAATGTTGTTTATAGACACTTGTTTACTTGAAGACTCTTTCAGAGCTAGTGTATCGCCATGACCTCATCGGGGATTTTCCCCTCTAGTCTAGATTTGCTGAGATTGTTGGCGCAATTGTAAGGTTTAAAAACCAAGATGGTTTGTCATTCTGTTGGGCTGCAGTCTTGTTTATATTTATAGTGCTTGTTTGACCTCGCTTTCTCAACTTGGTCGGAGTTCCAGGGAGATCATTTGGAACGTACCTAATGTGTCCTCTGCCATTGTATTCGTGATTTTCACCATCGGACCATTGAGTTGATACATTCCCAAACGTTTCGTCGGCATCGTCGGTAAGAGGTGCCATCGTCAGCAGAGAGTTACAACATATCAAAGTGACAAGTGAAAACAAACCCCTTGACCAATTTTCTGTTTAACCTTTGTGATATCACTCATCGACCCTAATTTTTGTTCTATCTTCTGGTGCTGCACATTCTTCTCTCAACCCTACTTTATAAGATCCATCTACTTATTCGCACAATTCTGTTCTCTCGCTTCCTCCAATCTCACCTAAGAGTGTGTCGCCACAAGTGGGTTTATTGAAGCATAATTCACAGAATTATGTGAATAGGTAGATGGGCCATATGAAGTGAAGTTGAGATAAATAGATGAAGTACTAGTAGCTAGAACAAAAAAATAGGGGCCAGACGTGATGCAACAACGAATAAAAAGAAAATTGTTCAAGGGATTCTCTTCACTTGTCACTTTGATACGTTCTATTTAATTTATATCACTGTGGTTTCTTACTTTATAATTGGTTAAATCTCATGTATAATCAGTAGGTTTTGACATTTTAGTATAACCCGCTGATACCATTATTAAACCAGCGAATGAAACTGAGGCGGATTCTCAATTGTTTTACAAGCAAGACGTGAAAGCCTTTCTATGTTGCTTGCAAGAGCGTATTTAAAGTGAAGGTCAAGCGTCCTCTTCAATATTTCAAGACCACTTTGGCCATCGATGGATGTGGCATGATTCGGGAAGCCATATATAACATGGGTTATTTGAGCCCTGAGGTAGCAATCACTCCAGCCGTTTTGTCGTTTCATATTGAACGTCACAAAATGCAAAACCTACTTAAAATATACACTTTAACTAAGAGTTAAATTTACATTGATTTATATACATAATGGTAAATGTTTGTTGCAAGAATTCTAAAAGCGATTTATGAGGATAATATTATATTCGGTCTTCTAGCTTTCGATACCTCATTTTGACCTGGATACTGGTTCTGGGTTAAACTATACACTTAATTACAGAATAATGGCAATCCAGTCGAACTATACGAGTAGGCAACAATTCGCTGTCTTTTACATTATGTATAATGGTCGAGTGGTTAATCTACAACCCTTGAGTCTGGCCATACCTGAATTATAATTCCTTCAGGGCGCTGATGGCACTTGAACAGCCTCAAACTAGCAGGCCACAATGAGTTAAGTGGGCTTCGAGATGTCAGTAAATTTCACTCAGCTTTTCCTCCCAAAATAAATTCTCATCCAGTCTCGACTGCAGCTCGACTTCGCGTTGGTCGTATATGCACCTCCAACAGGATTTTATTCCGGATCG